GAGCTGACTAATCGCGCATCCGAAATTTATAGCGTGCATGCATGCGCGAAGAACACGGAATTACGAGGACTTAGAGTGAAGATTAGAGAGGGAGCGCCTGCGTTCTGCATGATCGGCCACGGCGTGGGGGACGTACCCCTTCTCCACTCATCGATCCGATCATGCAGGCTGCGGCTTACAAAATTTCAGCAAAAGAAAGAAAGGGAGGGCGGGAGAGACGAAGTGCAAGAAGAGAGATACAGTTACAAGGGCGCCCGCCCAAAATTACAGTTACACATACGATTAAGGGCGTCCACTAATCAGAGTACCATTGCAGCCGCATGAAGAAGCGCGAGAACAAAAGGCGCAGCGCGGCAGGAAAAATCCTAATTACTGAATTCCTTAATTCCTATCTAATGCGAAAAAGCAAAAGCAAAAATTCCAGAAGGAAAGTCCAAAATTCCGAGAGCCATCGGGGGGTGGCTCGACAAAATTCGAAAGAGAGAAAAAAAGATTCAAAGGAAAATTCAAAAAAGACGAAGCAATTTCCCGCGCGATGTCCGCGCCCAAAAGATCGAGAACCGAACCAAAAGAAACGACATCAACATTTATTAATCGTGCGTGCGGTGGCGCGTCAGACACCCATCCGACCAACCATTCTACCGGCCGTCCCAGCACACCCCACCCGAAGAAGCGACGAAAAAGACGAAGAAGCAAGGGTACTGATGCAATTTTCCACCGATCCCGATTTCCCGTAATTGGCCGAATCTTCCCATCTTAGGACCCCTCGTTGCAACCGCGCAGAAACTTGCGCGTTTCAGAAAGTGGTTCGTCACACACGCACTGCGAGGGAGAACGGTGTCGACGATGTGGACGTGGGTCGGCAGGCCACCAATGGTTGCCGTTGGTGCCGTTGGCATAAGGTTCTTGGAAGCCGATTATTGAAGACCGAAGATGTATGTGCCGTGCCTGGTAGGAACTCCAATGGACCAGCCAACAAAAAAATGATGCTGACGACGGGTGCCCTCGCCGCTCCGATTATCGCGGATCCTGCACCTCTGAGGGACCTCAGGAGGTACCTTGGGGGAGGCCACAAAAAGGCTGTAGCCCGAGGACGTCCCGAGGATTCCCCGAGGAAATGTTTTTACTTTTGCTTTTTCATTTTTTCCCCCGAGGATAGGTGGAACGATAATTTCATCGAGGAGTGTCTAACAAACCACCAGGGTGGAACGATAGGTGGAACCATAATTTTACTTAGGTCAAGCGAACCACCAGGGTCTTTGAGCCAGCAAAGACCCCAGAAGAGGACCGGTAGGTGACCGGCCGAAACAGACCATAAAGTCACACGCCATCACATTGTTCGGCAGTCTCAGGGATAACCCTGCTTCTGCGTTCGGCAGTATCAAGGGATTGGTTTGACGACAGATGTTTTCATCTTTCGAATCCCCGTTTCTGCTCGGGATACTGCTATATTGATTTCTGCGTGAATGTAGGCTTGACCTAGTGTTTTGTCTGGTGTAGTTGGTGGTCACTGTCTTCCTCCTTCTATCCTCTCCCTCTCCTCCTCTTTGAATTCCCTCTCTTTTCCTTCCCCTCCCCCTCTTCCCCTCCTCTCCACTCTCCTCCTTCCTTTCCTTTCCTTTCCTTTCCTTTCCTTCTTTCCTTCTTTCATCTGACTCGTGGAATAATTTTTTTGGATCTATGCATGTGACCACATGTCTGCTATGCATGTGTGTGAAATAATGCAATGCTTCCATTTCCTGGCTCGTAGAATCTTTTTCCCAAAAAAGAAAAGAAAAAGTGTCTGTCTGTCTGTTTGTTTGTTTGTCCTCATAAAACCAACAAAAAAGAAGAGATTTCTTATTTAAAAAAAAAAAAGAGAATGAAAAAAAGGGAAGTTTTTTGGAAATACCCCTCCGACTTCCATTTATTTGCGGTATGCCCCTCCAACGGCCCACTTACCCTGTTGTGCCCCTGGGGCCTCTGACGTTTCCTGCAGGCCCCTGTCAGTGAGGGGTGCAGCTTTCCAGCATGCCCCTGTGGCTGTTGGTGGGACTCACTCCTGTTCCCCTTGCCCTGGGAGGTACCCGTAAGGGCATATTGAACATATTTCAGGCCCAAATGACACCAGGGGATTTTCGAAAATTTCAATCGTTGTCAGAGGGGGCGACCATTCCCCTGGCCGTGGGAGGGGAGCTACCGAGGCATATTGGAAATTTGGAAGGGGTACTAGTAGGGGCATATTGAACATACTTCAGGCCCCAACGACACCAGGGTTTTTTCTGAAATTTAAATCGTTGTCAGAGGGGCGCAACAGGGTAATTCAGCCGTCAGAGGGGCATAGCCCAAATAGCTGGAAGTAGGAGGGGCATTTCAAAACTTTACTAAAAAAAAAAGGACAGAACTAGTCGCCGCAGTGCCATTCCAGGTGCTGAGTCTGCTGACCATACACCTAGTACCTGGACGTCCTCTGCGCACACATTCCTGATCGGGCTAGGGTTGGTTGTTGGCCAATTTTTTATTTTTTCACAGTGGATTGACCCTTTAAATGTAAACGCAATTTGTAGCATCCCTTCAGGGCCAATTTCACAAATACCCTTCCTTTATCGAGTTACAAGTTCCTCGCGAATCGTCACGGTTGTGCATGGTGACTAAAAGAGGGAAGGTGATTCCTTTTTTCTATATACATATATGGTGATATATTTTATTTCATGAAGGGCCCATTGCCGAACGCTCACCAGGATTGGTGCAGGATGTTTTACAGGAATATATGTCATTTCATGCAAGGCAGACTGTGAAGTCCGACAGGGCGATTTTTTTCTCTCAGCTCACAGCTTTTCTCCGTGGTTTTCTACACAGTATTTCGGGAAAAAAAGAACCAAAAAAAAAAATCGGGAATCCTTATGGTTTCCCAAATCCTTAAAAATTCCTGGTGTTAAATTTTCCCAAATCCTTAACAATGCCTGTTTTCAAATTTTCTCAGGACGTTTTACAATTCTATTTCCGTTTTTCTTCGACCTCCTCCTCCTCCTCCTCCTCCTCCTCCTCCTCCGCCGCCGCCCCGTTTGCATCCTTCGTAATGTTGACTGCTGGACGGGGTCCGGAAATAACAAGTCCATGTTTCACAAAACACAGACAAGTTGAATTTGGAAAAGGACGATCACTGCAGGAGATACCTACCGGCAGTGGTAATCAATTCACTATACATATACAATTTATATGTTATATACTTATGTTTATAACTTTATTTTATAATATTTAT